TCCAAGGAAATGGATATTCCAGCCCCATTGATTAAAATTCTAGTGATTTGGAAAATTTCCTAAAAGAGATTTTTTTCAACATCCAAACTCCTTATATCCCCATTTCAGCCACAAGGAGGACAAACTATAAGAGGGATACGTTAAAGGAACAGAAGCAATATGTGCATTCCCTAAACTATAAAGTTATATGGGGACATCATTGTCTTTTAAAAAAATCAAGTACTAGTACATTTAGGAGTGATGCTTAAAAGAATAAAGCTCCCTTTTATGCCCCCAATTGGAAAATATAATCAAAATCTACTTTTTGCAGGATGGCTTTCTTAAATAAATGAGCAGAAAGGATGAGTTATGTGGCTATAAATAAATCTACTGACTATAATAAAGCAAAGTTTGACTATTTTATAGTGTCCCAGGAACCAGTGGGTATATTTATAGCTGTGTTAACAGTCACCTGTATTTTTTCAGGATTTTTATTTCACTTCACATTATGAGAGTTTAGTTTTTTGTTTGTTTGTTTTTCTTCTTTCCACACTTACTGTTGGAACCCTGCACAGAGAGAGAGAAAGAAAGTAAGGATGCCTACACTTTGTATTTAGAAAAAGAGGACCCTCGCCCTCGCCCAAGAGTTTAGGGTTTATACAGACACAGACTGCTCAATGCTTTCTGTGTCTGCGCAGTCATATTAGATGTGTCTGTGACAAACAATGTGACAGCTGTCTACTGTTGGCAGTGAGGTGGAAAGTCAGCGTCTGCACAGGTGAGAAGAGGCATGTGGAGGGACAAAATGTATTGTGAGAGACTGACAGGGCAACTTCACATTAGGTTCCTGGCACCTGATACCATTAAGTACTATCACGAGGCTTATTGTAGAAGCCAAAAGATTCTTCAGACTACTTAATAGCAGAAGTACAGACCAAAGCAAGACAAAAAGGCTCAGATGGGTACAGATTCTTCTACCTCATCTTGGAACAGTTTCCTGGGAGGTGGGGAGGAGGGGGAAGTTTTAAAAAGCAGGGGAAGGAGATCTATAATCCCAAATTCTGAAATCTGGAATAATAGAGAAACCCAGCTATTAACCAGCCAAATCCAATTACAGGTTTTTTGTTTGTTTGTTTAAACTGCATTCCATTCAGAAACTGCAAGCTCCACAGAGTCTGGTTAGGATGTCATGGGGTTTTATCCAAGTGGACCTGTGAAATTATTTGTACTTTTCTACTTTAAATCTGTGTTGAGCATAATGCTTCTATATCTATTGTTCTTCTTATTTGTCTTAAAAGTGGGTTTGCATCTTCATCCTGCAGCAAGTGTTCTCACTCCAGGACTCACTAGGGACAACTCAGAAGGGAAGAGGTGGCTGTTGGTGAGGTGGCTGTTGGTGGTAGTGCAGCTGATGAGGAATCCTGTTCAGCTGACCCCTAGGTGCAGACAGTGTTTAGAAGGTATCACTGGAGCTTAAAATTATATATATATATATATAATTTAATAAGGCATCCTATTATAAACTCTAATAGATCTGAAAAGAATGGGAATTAGAAAAATAAATTGAGGTAGGAATGTGCTGACTAGAGGAAGAGACAGGAGGGATAAGAAACAAATAAGAAAAGAAATCATCAATGTATTAAATGGAGAAGGACATGCGTTTTATCAGGAGAACTGTGGATTTTCTCTCTGGAGTGAAAGAAGAAAAATTAATCAGTCTCATATTTGCTCTCTTATAAGTTTTCTCAATATTCAACTGGTTCCCCAAATGGAATTAGCCTTCCTGGAATCCTTAGCTACTTCTTTTGACATTTTGCAAAAAAGTAAATAAATAAATTATAAGTATGACAAGTGAAATGAATAGCTCCAGCTGTGACAAGCCAGTAGCATTTCCAGATTTTGTACTGCATTAAGGATTTATTTTCGCTTTGTTGCCTAGCAGAGAATTAATTGCAAGGTCCGGCAAAGCTTCCCATGTTTCCCTGGGACAAAGTCAGAGACAGGCTCCAACACTCAGCACCAATTTAGGACAGAATGGCAAGGTTATTTGGATAGGTGGTCAACTTAATCAATTCTGAGAATGTGCATCTCTGAGGATCGATGTCACTAAAGGCAGATAAATGCATCAGTGAAACTAATGATATAAGAACATATGAATATGAGATTGACAGTTAATTCATTGGATTCATTAATTGAGCAAATATTTACTGAGGATCTACTATGTGCCAAATACAGAAGATACAGTAGGGGATAAGACAAAAGCTCAGCATTCAGGGAGCTTACAATCTTATTAAGGAGCTAGCTAGACTATGAACAGACATAGATAAAATAATTTCAGAAAGTGGATAGTGTTGTGAAGGAAATAGAAAAGGCAAAGTGCCTTTCAGGGGTGTGATGGCTGACTTTCTATGAAGGCCAGTGACACCTGAAATGAACCAATCACATGAAAATCTGGGAGAAACATCTTTCAGATAAGAGGACCCAGCAAGTATAAAGGTTTGGAATTGGGAAAGGGGAAAGAACTTGACACATTCAAAGAGCAGAAAGAAGGTGTGGGCGACTGGAGGGTAGTAAGGGGTCATCTGGCAGAAGATGGTGTTGGAGAATTAGGCATAAGCCAGGTCATTTAAGTCCTCTTAAAAGCATGTTACAGAGTTTGAATGAGTCCGAAGTGCAGTGGGATTCCATGTGGAGGACAAAAGGGGTGGTTGGATTGAATAAGAACTATCATCTACCTTAAGGGATGATGCTTAGGATAAGAATTTCCCTTCTGACTTTTCTACTAATAATTAGACCCTAAATATCTACTTAACTTTCTTGGAATTTTAGCTTATTTTTTATTGAACAAAGAGTACTGCCACTCTTTGTCAGGTGCTGTGCCAGATGCAGTATATATGTTATCTCATTTAAAACACCCAATAACCTCATGAGGGAAAGCATTATCCACATTTTACAGAGCAAGATATTGAGGTTTAAATCGAGTCTCCATAAACCACTCCCGTTGCTTGCTGTGGTGTTTCTAGGTACATGTTGCTAGTTTAAGACATAGTGTTTCTTGGCTGCTACCCAAGGGCACGAAAGACACTGAATGAGGGATTCTGGATGGATCCCATGAAGATCCCCTCACAGCTGAGAATCAGAGCAGTTTGGATGACTCTGCAGCATTTACCACTGAAAACATGGGCCTTGGGAGAACATTGAGTTCAGAACCAGAATCCCAAGTCACCACCATAAATCTGAAATGGACTTGATATTTGACCTTGAAGACAAAACATCTATAGGTTTGGTATCTTTATCTGTTAGAAAGACACATGATGCTAACTTCCTTAGTCCTTCTTTGGGGTGTCCCAAGGATGAATAGGACTGTCTTAACCCCTGTCCTTTATTCTCAGTTACAGAGTTTGAAATGTCCTTGAGAGCAGGACTATAATAGGTGCTATCAGCTCCTTTAAAAAAAGAAATGCCACCCTAACTGGTTTAGCTCAGTAGATAGAGCATTGACCTATGGACTAAAGGGTCCCAGGCTCGATTCTGGTCAAGGGTATGTACCTTGGTTGCGGGCACATCGCCAGTGGGGGGGGTGTAGGAGGCAGCTGATCGATGTTTCTCTCTCATTGATGTTTCTAACTCTCTATCCCTTTCCCTTCCTCTCTGTAAAAAATCAATAAAATATATTTTAAAAAGAAAATGCCACCTAAATACTCCTCTCTGTCTCTCTCTGTGTCTCTCTCTGCCTCTGTCTCTCTCTATATGTATATATATACATATATATGTGTATATATATGTATATATATATATGTATATATATATGTATATATACATATATATATATGCAAGTGGCTAGTATATATTATATAATTTAAATTCCCTCTCCCCTTCCAAAAATATAATTGGCCAAATGACTGTGAAGGAAGGAGTCAAAGCTAGCAAGCCCCCTGGTCTAGGAGGGCTGCCTGTTAGGTTTGTGCTTCCAGCACATCAGATGGAATAGGAGGAAGGGGGGTGGGGTGAGGTGGAAGCCACCTGTCCAGAATGTCACTGTTCCCTGGCAGAACCCTGGTCAGCTTCCTCCTGGAGTCACAGATGGCCAGGACAGGAGCACCAAGCCTCTCTCTGCCACTCCTGCTCTCCCCTGCAGGTTCAGCCTGGATGGAAAAGCTGTGCTTTCTTTGCTGCCCAATGCCTTGGAGCCGGGAGGCTTCACCCATCTGGGGCATTGTCTCTGAGGAAAGTCCTAGACAGGTCCCCACTCCTCTTCTGCCAGAAGACTCAGCTATCACCCCTTCTGAAGTTCTTTGACCAGGACAGCCAGCTAGGACCCTAACTTCTGGTTCCTGAATGCCAGGCACTTCCTGTCCACCTGGTTGGAAGCTACCTTTTCCAAACCCCTCACCCTCTGGAGTCCGGGGACCACATCTCTTCAGAGAGACTGTGAAAAGTTCCCACCATTTGCTCCTAGGGTTGGGACCTTGGTCATCTTAACCCCTGGAGAGGCATCTTTATGGAGAGTGGCCACAGGGTGCTGACCAAGGTGCTGACCACCATCCAGGGCGGGAGCGTGAGGGGTGGGAGGTGCCCACTGCCTGCAGCCACTACAGCGTTTGGCTCCTGCTGACTCAGGGGGTTTATATTTATTCTATTTGGGGATACTTCAGCCTCAGCTTTGCCTGCATTTTTCTTTCGGAATTGTAAAAGGTGCCTTAATCTTGAGAGTTTGGCTTCAGGTGCTTGGGAGAGGAGGAGGAAAGGGTGATAAAACGGCTCAGTGTCCCTCTGTCTGCCTCTCAGTCTCACGCACACTCACACGCTGGAGCTCACTGTGCTGGGAGGGAAGCAGAGTGCAGCAGGGGGTGTGAGTAGGGGCGGTGTGTGCCGGGAGGCTTGGGGTGTAGACTAGCTCGGGTATTTGAATGGGGAGGGCTGGGATTCCGGGCGCTCACCCCGCCTTCCTCCGGAGCCAGCCAGTCCCTCGGCAGAGCGCTCGGGCTGCGCTGATTTGCTCTCGGGAGTGCGCGATTTGCATATGACTTGCCCATTTGTGAATTTGGCTCCCCAACTCTTCGCTTCACTTCACCTGTGCCTCCCAGTTCTGCGCACTTTGCAAGCGCCCGCCCGCGGGCACCTCCTCTCCTGCTCTCCCTGCTCGCCCACCCACCTCTCTCCACCCCGTGCCACGTTGGTTTGGGTGGCTGCTCTGCGCTGGGTTCCTCTGCCTTTCCTCTTTCACTCCGGTCCTCCTGGTTCTCTTCCTCCGGCGGCGGCGGCTGCTGCTGCTGCTGCTGCTCCTGCTGCTGCTGCTGCTGCTGCTAAACCCGGGAAGCCAGCGGAGGCTCCGTGGAGCTCTTCCAGAAAGTGCAGGGTTAACAGCCTCCCTGCCCTTCCGCCGAGACAACTACAAACGGGTGAAGAAGTCTCCCACCTGCACCCCCTTTTGCTTGGCACTTCTGCATTGCATCGCATGGAAGTGGGAAAAAAAATGTTCAAACTGCTTGGATGTTGGGATAAACTAACCTGAACCTACTTGGGTGTCCTGCCACCTGCTCTTCTTCCTTCATTTCCACCTTTCCTCTATGTGGCTTCTAGGAGCATGCAGCTAAGTCATCAGACTTGAGTTGCTTAGAGATCAGGAGGAAGCCCAGTGCCTCCCGTGACATGTTGGGCATTACGGGGCTCCCTAGGAGGGCTACTCTACCCGGGGGGACTTTGGCGTCCTAAATTTAAGCCCCTGGAAAAGGGGGGCTTCTGCCTTCTATTTTACTTTTTTTTTTTAGTAGTATCTTTTTTTTTTAACTGATTCATCACCTGCCTTGAAAGTGCTTATTCCTTCCCTCTTTCTACAATTTGGACAAGTCTTCCTCCTGCTATGATGGGCCCCTGGGCATCATGAACTTCATTATTCCTCACTGGCTGGGATTCAAACTGCCCATCGGTAGTGGTCCAGTGCGTTGACCATGCACCTGAGAATCCACCCAAGACGGAGCCCTCCTCGCCGGCCGGCCTGGACGCTTGGGATCTGGTCCCTCTTCTGGGGATGTATCATCAGTTCTGTGTGGAGTTCCTCTAATGTAGCTTCCTCCTCCTCCTCCTCCTCTTCCTCGCCGGGGTCTCACTCTCAGCACGAGCACCATTTCCATGGCAGCAAGCATCACTCAGTGCCTATTTCTATCTATCGCTCCCCAGTTTCCCTGCGAGGAGGGCACGGTGGGTTTTTCTGCTCTTTATCCTTTTAATGGGGCATAGCGGTTCCTTAACCCATTCGCCTTTCAGGGCTTTCAGGTAATGTCAAGGGTGGGAAGAGAGTGAAAAATGGCATTCTAAATGATGAAAAGCATCACATGTGCATGAGGGAAGAAAATGACCAGTTTCCCCTTAAAGACTAATGCTAATGCTTTCTGCCCCCGCCCCCCAATTTCCTCTAATGCATTCTCCTCTCTTTGGCTCCCTTACCCATCCCTGCACCAACACCACATTCTCCTCCCTTTTCAACCTTCCACCCCTTTCACTGCCCCCTCCCACAGGATGGTAGGCAACTTACAGATAAGTCCCCAGTGCTGCACTTTGAGAATTCATTCATTCACCTTGCTTTCACCCTTCTTCTTTGGGAGCTAGTCATGGGGAAATAGCCGATAGCAAGAATTCTTAGGTCTTCAGCTAGAAGTTGTTTGAACTGCTGGAAAGTGGCCTGTGTGGTTAAGGTCACCAGGAGGGGGAAGAGTAGCTGAAGGCAGAAAATATAATTAATAACCAGTGGCCATTATTATTCATTTGGGCAGCTTTAGGTTTGTCCACATGTTTGATAGAAAGAGTAGCTATCATAAAAACTGCATATCTAATATTGCTACCAGAGAGGAAGCAATCTATAGACAAGGCAAAGTCCATTTATAATTGACCCAAGTGTAAATTATAGTAACTTTAATTCCACCATTTATGCAAATGCTATTTCAGTTGAAGGTAGCATGGGTGGGCTTGTTTAAACAGTGCGTGTCTGATGTGAAATCCTCCCTTCATAGCTATTGAAAGAAGAGATCTATGGCTTTTAAAAATATATTCAGCTCTGTGCAGGCTGCCTTGAAAAAGGTGGTGTCTGCCTCTAAGGTAGGAGCTTGCTGTAGTAAAATGTTCTAAGGGAGAGAGCTTCGTTATTTGTTTACTATGCACTCCACTCCAAATGCGAGGAGAGTAGGAATCACAGAGCCGGGCTACAGGAGCAGCCCTCCAGGGAGCTGGAGGAGTGAATGCACCAGAGGTCCCCTGCCCTAGCTTGTATTTTGAAGAACTATAGCATGCAGACCCCATTGGGAACATCAGTTCTTCCCACTGCCTCCTAGCCCTGGGCTTCTGCTCCGTGCTGTCTGTAGCTTTTAGTGGAAGCACATTGAAAAAATGCCAGCACGTATTCTGGCTCTTTCTGGCTCTCTTTAAATTTCATTTGATGGAGTTGTCAAACAGCTCAGAGCTTGTAGGGCTGGTAGAGGGGGGTGGTGGGGAGGAGGGAATGCTTGATCTTGATCTGGTTGCTGTTTTTTCTGTGACTCCTGCTGAGGCTGATATAGGCTTTCTTTAAAAAAGCACAGCAGCCTCTCCCCCCTTCCCTCCCCAAACAAACAAAAAAACTAGGAGAGGAAAGAAACACACCAACCCAAAAAGCAAAAGCAATTTCATTGATAATGGAAACTGTTAGCTCCAAAGGGGAAGAGGGACTAGGAGTGGAGGTGAGATTGTAAAGAGTGGGAAAGAAAAGAAGGGAAGTGGGGGGTGGGGGAAGCCAGACAGACTTTTACTAAGAGCCATACTTAAACATGGAAACACTCAGCAATAATTAGCTAAATTTTGCTAATTAGCGTAAATGATCAGCAGGGAGATGAAGCTTATGCATTAGAGGTTAGAGGCTGGCAGGGTCTGGATGTTTCCTGTTCAGGATGTAAAGGGTTAAAAGCAGCTAGGAGTTCAGTGATGGAATTTACAGAGCTCTACTTCCCAGGGGTTCCTAAATCTGTCAAGTTTCTCTCTCTCTCTCTCTCTCTCTCTCTCTCTCTCTCTCTCTCTCTCCCCTCTCTCTCTCCTCCCATCCCCCTCCCTCCCTCCTTTTTCTTTCTCTCTTTCCCCCCTCTCCCTCTCTCTGTCCTAAAGGTGTTGAGTCTTGCAGAGGTTAAGCACTCTTCTCTATTTACTTCACTTCTCCAAGTATGCATTTGCTCAGTACCTTCTAAATCTTTCTGACTGGTTCCCAGTCTGGTTTCTCATTACCCTGCATCTGATAAGATCCAGTATGATGGAAAAGAAGAACAAAGCAAGTAAATGACTAGAGATCCCAGCAAAGGCCCCCAGATCCATCAGAGCTATAAGATGCAGTAAACTCCTCAGGGGTCTGCATGGCTAAGATAGGAAAGCTCCTGAATTTGACTCTTCAGTATCCTCTTTCAATCCTAAAATCCCATCCATCCCATTGATTTGGGCTTGGAGACTGAATGCATCTATATTAAGTAGGATTCTTTCATATTTAATTAATGTTTTTGAGCTGGAAATCAAGAGAAGTAGTGATCAACAACCTTTGATTCCAGTTCCCCTTCCAAACTGAGACCTTTTGAGTCCTGAAAGGGCCAGTAGACCCCCTCAGTGCTTTGCTAACTTGCCTCTCATTCTTACTGGAAGTACACTTGCTAGTCCCCTAGTCCAAGACAAAGACTTAGTTAATAGCAATTGTTTTTAAAAATCTTTTGGAAGGCGGTGGTGGTAGGAGGCATAGCACTATGAGACTAATGGTTGTGCTAATAGTTTTCTGCCAACCTTATTCCAGAGTTAAAAGCAGCAGTCTCCATTGTCTGTGAACAAGTAAATGCCCTTTGTTCTGGTATAAAATTAAACACTAGAGGCATGAGTCCAAGAACTTTCTTTGGACTGAAGGGAGATTTTGTTTGTTTGATTGTTTTCTGTTACTCTTGGCCATTTCCTAAGAAAACAACTCCTCAGAGTTGCCCTTTTAATAAGTGGTTGCCACACACACACACACACACACACACACACACACTCTTCCAAACCAAACTGCCCTATAGTGGGATTTACACTAAGACAGATAGAAGAAACAGAAATTCTCCAAACAGCTTTTACCCAGGCTCGGTTCCAGTCTTTAGAGAGTTATGTATAGATCTGCCTACAGTCTTTATCCAGGGCACCCTAGAAAAGGCCAAGCTCCTTTATGGGTTGCGGAGACAAAGTCACACCTGCCTGGGGTACCCCAAAAAAGTCTCCAGTTAGGACTGTGTCTTAGGAGAGAATTAATTAAGTATCCTGTGAACTGGAATCTGGTAAGCTTCTCCCCTTCTCGGAGGTTCCCGTCTTTCTTTTGTGATCTATTCAATAGTCATTCAATCAACCTTGAGTATTTACTATGTGCCAGTCTGTGTGCTATTTGCTAAGGATATAAAACTAAATGAGATATTGTGGTGTTCAGCTAGGGAGAATTTCAGAAGTATTTTGATCATTTAAGATAAGTGCTTCTGTCACGTAAAAAATAGGGGGTCGGGGGGTGGGGAGAGACCCAGATATCACACCATATTAATTGATATAAATTATTCCTTTATAAAATGAAAATTTACATTTTTCTATTATTCCAGTTACCCCTACAGGTATTTTTCATCCTTAACTTTATTACCATACTTAAATATCATGCTTATCAAAGCTCCTAAGTAGTTTAGTGGTATGGGACACATAAATACTAAAATACATTTGTTTACTGACCTTGGGAGTTTTGTATATTTCTTTTCCTCTCACTTGCCTTTAAGAAGTCCGATGTCTATCTGTCTAAAGATAAATGCTTTAATACTTAGAGTTTAGAAAACAGGTTTCTCTAAGGATCCTGGGTCTAGTATGTGTCTTGCATTTTATCCTCCATAATATAACAGACTTTCTTGACTCAAGGCATTTGGGAGAACTAATAGAGAACATAACTCAACTTTAAAAGGGAAAGTACCACAATATATTTAGAGGAAAGTCTCTTGCTCAGAAACTAGGGTGTGTGTGTGTGTGTGTGTGTGTGTGTGTGTGTGTGTGGTGGTGGTGGTGGTGGTGGGGAGATATATATCCTATCTGAATCATCTTAGCAGAAGTGATGGTGGTCCCACTTGTGGCATATTAGCCAGGACCTTCTTGTAAGGAATTAGACTGCTCATTCATTGTCACAGACAACTGCCTCAAGTTTTCCCAGCCATGGGGCTTGTTTTGCACTGATCTATTGAGCAGTTTCTTCTGCTCTGCCAGCTGCTTTCTAACCACTTTCTCTCCCCCTTCCTTCTTGGGATTCAGTTTGCTGAATAATTCATAGTGTTGGTTGACAGATAAAAAGATAAGATGTATATGCCTTTGGCCTTGGTGATAAATTAATTAAATCAGTTTCTCCTTTTCTCTCTCCTCCAGATGCATTGTTTTTCTTCTCTAAAATTTGCTGGCAAGTGGTAGGTCTGGAGATTAATATGTTCTTAATAAACCAGCATAGGATGTTTGTAATGTTGTAGGGTACGTTTCTTTAGGACTTTCAATGTTGATCATTGGTTGGAGTGAAGCTGAGGGCTGCCATATCATAGGGAGAGGAGATGAGATCATTGGAACAATTCTTTTCAGGGTCAGGGGAATCCTTACCAAACTGATGGATGGCTGGAATTCCATAGTAAAAATTTTATTCCTTTATTGTCTGATTTTTTTTAATCTGGAAGAAGTAACACATTTCATTTTACATTTTAGTGAATGAATTTACCAGATCTCAGAAAGCTTGCCTCTCTGGACCTTGTATCATCTGGGAGGGAAGCAAATGTTTGAAGACAAACCATGAACTTATTCATATTTCCCTTCCTGTATTAATTTGTTAGGGCTACCTTAAATAAAATCACAGCCTGGTGGGTTAAACCACAGAAACCTATTTTCTCACAGCTCTGAAGGCTAGGAGTCCAAGATGATGGTGTCAGTAGATTTGGTTTCTTCTGAACTCTCTCTTCTTCACTTGTAGATTGATTCCTTCTCATTGTGTCCTCATATGGCTTTTCATCTGTGTTCATGCACCCCTGACATTTCCCTATATGTTCAAATTTCCTTTTCTTATAAGGACACTTGTCCTATTGGTTAAGGCTCACCCAAATGTTTCATTATAACTTTATCACCTTTTAAAAGGCACTATCTCCAAATACAGTCACAATCTGAAGCATTGGGGA